TGTCTGTCTGTCTGTCTGTCTGCTTGGGTGCTATCGGGCAATAGATGAAATTCAACAGCTTTGACAAGCAGCTTCGCGCTTGAAGCCTCATGAAGATCCAAAGCTGCACACTTCAACACCATGAAGATCCAAAATGTGGGAAGGCTTCGCCCGTGCGGGCGTGTCTTGTCCTGGAAAGCTGAGGGCGAGACGCCAGCAGCCTCCTCCACCACATCTTCCTGGACATACATGTTTCCTTCTGTCACCTTGCCGGCTAATGCACACCAAGCTTACCGGCCTCGGTTTCCAGAAGCAGCCGGTAAATCGACGAGACCTAAGCCGCACGACACGGCACAGCTGGGATCGGCTGTTCAAATTTCTGCCTGTCAAGCTTGAGCTGGACATGGCAGCAGCCTGAGCTATCGACCACGGCAAAGACACACTCCTTGCTTGGCGAGACTGTCACACGCTGTTTTATCATTGAGGGTTGCGGGAAAAGCTTGTGCGCATTATCTCAAGCCAGCTTGGACATCTTTCGAACCCTTGTCCCAATGTTCACCGCAGGCGCACGCATGGCGCAATGCCAGGGAATGGTCGTGTTTGTTTCATCTCGCGTCCCGAGAGCAGAACAGCCGTGCAGCATTCTAGGTCTGTTGAGCCCAGGTGGGACGAGTTGGATACACATACACACCATTGCACACCGTTTAATGCAATGCGGTTGGGATGAACTATTTGCAAGTGTCGTTCAGGCCAATGTCGTTCTGTGTGGTGCAGCTGTGATGTATGCTAGCACGTGTCGTTGCTTGAACGACTGCTGCGATGTACGGTCTTTAGTTTTCTTGATGCCACTCTTTGGCCACCGACCCTCTATCTTCGGCACTGGCCCAAACATGATAGGAAACACTGCCGTGTGTAGTATTGCCGTCCAGCCGGATTTAAGTGTGGCAGCTGGCGACAAGCGACACCTGACAGGGTGGAGTGACAACAGTTTCTTGACCACACAAGGTTCCCTGCCAAATGTAAGCAAGCGGGGTCTTTGCCACTGGCAGTACGGATCTAGGCCATGTGCCAAAGCTCTTGACTTGTTCCTTGACCTGTGCAGCCTGAGTCCAAGGCTCCAGCAAGCAATTGCGAAGCATTTCAACTCACACGCTCGGACAAGCCGGCATGGCTTCACGATGTTCGCATTTAGAATTTAGAGGCTGTGCTTGCTCATGCATTTAGCAGATGGTGCAAGCTGTCGCGTCGCGGTGGTCTGCTTCCCCAGTTTGACGGCCCAAAGACGGCCAAATCAAAAGGACGTCGCAGCCGATTGAGAGCAATTCCTTCGACAAGGCCTGCACGCTACCTGAAAAAGAAATCTGCAGGACGGTCGGCGTTGCTTTATCTGCCCTTAGATCGTGCAGGAAGTCAACCGTTCGCTGCTCGCAGAAAGAACGGGTCATTTTCTTGTTATCAGATGACGCCGGTACCGAAATCCGCATTTCCCAGCATCAGGCCCTTCTCATGCATCTGAGGCTCCACCACAAGCGACACCAAGAACGCGGGCTGAATAGGCGGAGGCTCTGTCTCATTCATCAAGAGTAGAAGCTTGACCTGCACCCATCGTACAAGATGCCTCGCCTCTGGACATATCCATCTGAAGCTCTCTCTACATGAATATGAACATAACTAGGTACACATGCAGGCATAATTACATAGCACAACTAAACACATATGTATGTATGTATGTATGTATGTATGTACGTACGTACGTAGGTATGTATGTATGTATATATGTGTGTATGTATGTGGATATATATATATATACATACATTATGCCTGTAAGTATGCATCTGTATATGTATACATACATACATACATACATACATACATACATACACACGCACACATACACATATACACGTACATGCACTTATGCCTTCATACTTGCACCTGCGCGCGTGTAGTCTTGTGATTGTCTCTGTTCCCTGAAGCAGCTCGGGTCACTACGCGAGGTGTCGCGCGCCCAGCTGATCCTGCTGAGCCTCGGGTAGCACTAGGCAGTCGCTCAGCGCTGCTCAAGTCGTCGAATGCATCGAATCCTCTGCACAACTTCCTGTCCAATGTCGCGCATCTTCTAGTGGCCAGCTCTCTGAGAGGGAGGCCATCAGAGCTGCCTGGAACGCTGTTTCGTGAGGCTCCCGCAAGCATCAACGCACTACATCGGCACTCGGCTCGACAAGGTGCACGGGATAGTGGAAGACAGCGGCCCGCCACCACCGTGCTTGTTCAATCGTCTCTGAGCTCAGGACGATCCAAAAGGTTGGCCTGTAGCTAAACAGTAGGAGCAGTGTCCGACAACACCTCGTCCTATACACTTGCCCGCGAGACCCTGAGGACGTTCGGCAACCCATGCTATCACAGCCTATGCAAACAACTATAAGTTGAAAGACACCGAGAAACTGCGGACAGAACGTTCTGGAGGCTTCCCCGGCCCTCGTGACCTGGATTCATGCGGCGATAGACAAAGAGCCGTGCACGGTTGCAGCTTTCGATCCGTCCCATGTCTTGCCTGCATTGCGTAGAACTGGAGAAGCCGTTGACGAAGCCCCGGCCTTGCTAGAAAAAAGCTCCGTTCCACTTCAATCGGTAACTCGCGACTGCCACTTCCATAGTGAACCACAAGGTGGTGATGGCGATGAAAGATGATGATGCTGATGATGATGATGATAATAAATGAATGAAGCAGTGTCCAACTTGCAATAGTTTCCGGCAGGGACTACCACGCTGTTTTCTGAAATGCGTAGTGCTAATACCTCGGTTTCCTACACTGATAGGAATTAGGAATGTCAAGTACCACTCGCGCAGTGCGCCAGCACCGTGCGCACCCTGGTAATACTCCCAAGTAAGAACTCCAGAAGTCTCCCACACGCATTCTTACTCGGAGCTCGGCACTCAATGTCAGCCAACGGGGAAACGGGTAGCGTCCATTAAGCGTCCCATGATTGAACTCAGCCTTTCGAGTGTTCCTGACAGCTTCATGACTTTAACGGGTAGTGGCGTATCCCCTTTGGCTGCACTTCGCTACTCCATCTCAGGCTCCACAAAACTGGCAGGAGCTGAAGAGTTTCTGAACAGCATACCCGTGATCTCTTTGAAGCAGTGCCAGATTGAACGAGCCAAATCCTGAACCTTGGAAACGTTAATTACTTTACAACTGTACAGGTGTCTTCCATTGCCGGAAAAACGATCTAGCCTCTGCGGAGACACAACATATACGAGGAACGCCCAGGGCGCCAAGATGCAGCAAGCAGAATGCACAAAAACAGAAAACACAAAGGAGCGAGTTCTAAGTGAACACACACGCACGCACACACACACACACACAAACACAGACACACGGCAAGCACAAAGGAAAACGACGACAGCAGCAACAACTCCCCACACGCCGACAAGACCTGCTAACTGCTAACAGACGCAGCTGTGCAAGAAGGCAGGTTCTGACTGTGTTCCGCCATTGCTGGCAAACCAGACATTCCCACAACATGAACGAGCCGGCATCCGAGAAGCCGACCGTAGGGGCAGCGGAAGAGTCCATGCCCCCGGAGGAAAAGCACACCTCAGCATCGTCGAAGCAAAAATTGTTCATGATTCCAGGCTTCATAATCAGGGATTGCGTTCAGGTGCCTGGAATGAGTGCCACAGAACCCTGCAGAACCTTTCCTTGTCAACTATGGTGCGCAATCTCAGATTGCCCGGATTGGTAGACTTGCAAATAGCATGATTTTCAGATCACAGGAAATCACAGGGCAGCGAGCGCTTGAATGCACCAATCTGGCAAGCGGCCGTATGCTTGAGCACCCGGATCGAACAAGTCCCAATGGCAGCCGTAGAGCAAGACCATGCCAAAGTTGGCATGACGGCCGCAAAAAAAACTTCTGCGAGTTTGCTGTCGCTCAGCACACGAGCAAACAGCAAAGAAATGCAACAGCCACAAGCATATTATACGTGTACGTGTATGTATATGTATATATAATATATATTATATAATATATATATATGTACATATGTTATTTGTACATAAATGTCAGTTTATAACACAGAGAGAGAGATATATATATATGTGCAATATATATATGTATATGTATATATCTATATATATATATATATAGTGTGTGTGTGTGTGTGCATGTGTATGTGTAAATATACGTATGCATGGTCCCCCTTTGACAGACCATGCCGTTTCATGCCCGTCCCCAGGCATGCATGATCTGTCAACGGATGGGCGACAATGATCTCTCCCAAGCTCAATTCCAAAATGTCCAAAACTCCTCCCCCTAACTTTCCAACATTTCGAGAAGTTCTCCCCCCCCCCCCAGTTAAAGACCGACTCTGCCAGATAGGACATAAATTTTTGGAAATCTTGGAATTCTTGGAAATTCTGGAAAGTTAGGGGGAGGAATTTTGGAAATTTTGAAGGATTTGTTGGAATTTGTAGCATTGTTTACAATTGTTGGAAATCTCTACAAGTTCATGCAACGCTCCTCAACCTAGTCTTAGTCTTAGTCCTGTCTTGACTCAGCCCTGTTCTTACTTCTAATCTTTGTACCACTATTATTGCTTGCAGTAGTCTTAAAACCAGTATTAGTGTTAGTATTCGCATTAGTTTTGTGGTAGTATTGTTTTTGAGCATTCTTGTTTGCTATTAGTACTAGCATTAGTATTGCGTGAGGGTTTGGTGCTGATATGTTCCGTGTCGCTCCCCTCACCGAGCTCTTTGATGTCGTGTGTGGTTTGCCTCTGGTAGACGTAGTAGATGAAAGCTTCACTGTTAACCACTCTTCCCTCGCATGC